CGATGTGTAATTTTCCTGACATGAAATAAAACCAGAAATACAGCAATAAACGTGAGTCAAAATTAGCCATAGTTGAGGAAGGATAAAACTAAGAAAGGTAGTGAAAAAAACGATTGAATGATCCATACTGAAAATTTGGTCAGCTTTAATTTTGAATAGAACGTATTTGTTGATGCGATAGATAGTTTTGTTGATATGTCCGAAAACGGTAAAAAATTACCTAGGAGTGGGGATTTTTAGTATGTTTACTAGACCAAACAATGTCCCAAAGTCAAAAATTGTGCACCGCGATTTCCTTGTATACCCCTTAATGAATTATAACGAGAACTCTTACGTTAGGTAGCTATAGGTTAAATTCTCCTTGATGATTCGACATATAAGTGGCATTGACGAAACAGGTACATTTATATACACTATATAATATTATCAAGATAGTCTATTAGACACAAATACAATTGGTGAAGCTCCGTGCATTACCACGACTGTTAAAATAACAGTTTTTTGCCTCCAATAATCTGAGGCGAAAAAATCGCAATCAATTATAAATGAGCTGAATGAATGAATAAAATCTGTAAACTTTTTTTTTTATTATTATTTATTATGATATTTACAACTGTATAAAAAATATACATCTAGTTAATTCGTACGTGGATATAATGACATGAAACACATGTTGAGAAACTGGTAGCAATCTAATAATGTGCCTACATTAGGAGACCACGGGGCTAACTTCTTTTCAGATGCCACGGTGGGTTATCAGAAATTGAATAGGAAGCAAGATTGGAAACAAGAGGGTTGAGATGGTTATGAAGTTTATTATGGAAGAGTAGGTATCTGGATTGGGCCAAATCTAAAACAAGGAACATTAAGGTCATAATGGATGATTTTATTTGTAAAAAAGTAAGGAGCATTGAGGATTTTACGAAGGATTTTGGATTGTAAGGATTTTATACGATAGGAATTCGATGGTTTCGTGGAGCCAAATAGCTCAACTCCGTAAGTCCAAATAGGCCTCATTATAGTGATGTATATGAGTCTTTTGTAATTAATTAGAAGGTTAGAGCGTTTTTGTAGTAAGTGTTGAAGTAGTTGAGCGGTTTCTTGTTGTTTCATTCTAGTATGAGAATTCCAAGTTGGACGTTTGTCCAAGTGTAGTGCTAGGTAACAGATTTGTTCAACAGGAATAAGCGAAGTATTCCTGTAGAAGGAATCACCTTTTATTTCTTATTCTTTGTCACCGAGAAGGCAATGTTAGTTTACATGTATAATTGTTTGGATATAATAAACCATTGTGAAATAATTTGCAGCGTATTTTTATAGGTTCTAACCTTATTTGCTCTCCGATCTCTCATTACCATCCATGGCTTGTGAATAGAAGATGGCTTCCTGGTCTCCTAATGTAGAACTTTTATTGGAGTGCTTCCAGTGGGTAGTTTATCAACAACTGTTTTCATGTCATCATATTCATTTGTACAAATTTGCTAGATCTATTTTTTTTTTTTTTTTGTACTGTTTTAAACAATAAAAAAAAAAATATTCGGTGACTATCCATAGGCATCAAGGGGGAAAAAAAAAAGGAGAAGAATAGAAACATGTTACAGGGAATATATATTTTGTGGATATTTTTTTATTTATTAAAATATCAAGAAGTTTCATTCTGTATTATCCGAATTGCCCAAAGATACTATAAGCTATTCTCATCCAATACTTTTTCAACAGATTTTAATTCGTCAAATACTATCATAAATATTTTGATTTTTAAAAACTTAAATACGTAAAAAAGACTATGTTCCATGGCAACTGTGGAAAATTCATCAAAGTTCATAGTGATTTAAGGTTATGAAATGTCACATAAAGACTTTTTGCAATAAACCGACGATGTATTTAGTTTATTTCGTTTTGTCGTTTCTTCTTCGATTTCATTTAGTCTTTCTTCTCGTTTCTTCTTGACATATTTGAGCGACCACTAATATTTTATCGTTTTCCGTAACATTTTTGACAACTCGCTAAACCAACAGCTAATAAAATTAAACATTATAAACTATACTTACGAAGCAGTATAAAAAAAACAAACAATTGATTTAAAATATGTCTAATTTTTTTTCTGGTCTCGGAGATTTTAATAGGTTTAAAATCTTCTCGAGCTAACAACAACTACTTGCAAAAAACGTGTGTGAAAACGGGCCAATAATTTTTAGCGATTTATGTATAAAAATTGGTTTGAACTTTTATATATTTTTTTCATATTATACATATATCCATTTTTTCAACTCTATATTTGGGACATCCTCAGTGGTCTCCTATAGTTCAAATGAAGTTAACATCGTTACTTAGGATTGTTTTCCAGGCAGAACAACAGCATAAAAGTTTGGATAAATTTCAACATATCCAAGTGAGAAGTGTCTTTTTTTTAAACTCACCATCACTGTACCTTATAATTAATTTATAGTGTTGAAAAAATTTATATGAAATGAATAAGTGATAGAGATGTAGTCCTTTATGGGGTCGCCATCTTCGCCATTATGATAAATTCGAAAATCAATTATAAAATTTAAAAACAAAATAAGAAATTCACCAGTTCAATTCATTTTCAAATTCTCTTCAATTTTCTCCAGTAATAAAATCCAAACCAGGAATGAAACAATAAAATCGATGGTGCTCAGCTGTCTAAATTTCATGGAATGTTATATTATATATATTTTTTCAGATTTTTAAAAAAACTTCCTACTAATTTTGTTGTAGGCAGCCTTTTGTATACTATATAAAAATAAAGTTTTGAACTCAGGAGGGATGTAACTCATTTTTGTGATTAGTGAATAATTATGCAAAAATACTGTAACTTATATGTGGATATTTTATTCCATTTACTCTTCATTATGTGTGCAGGAATCAGACACTAGTTTTCGGACTAAAGTTCCGAAAATGGAAAAAAAAAATTGCTCTCATTGTGCTATTTTTGTTTTTGTGATTGATCTGAGCTAGATAATTAAACAAATCACAATATACACTATTTTTAAATTATATCGCTAATATAGATACTAAATTTAAGAATTTAAGCAAGTTACGAAAAAAAAATATTTAAAAAATGTATTCCTGAAACTGTTATTGATTCTGTACTTAAGCTTTTTATTTTTTGAACCCTCCTTCATGGACCACCTAAACATCATTTTATACAGTTTCTGTTTTTTTAACAGTAGTATGAAAAAAAACGAATGCTCCCCAAAATTAAAAAATGCATTCGCTACCAGAAACGGGTAACGTGTTTTTCATCGGTAGTCAATTGATTCTTAAAAAAGAATACTTTTTTAAAAGTTTTTTACTGCAGATTTTGAATATCTTAATAATCAGACTACAATAAATGTTGTAGACAATTGTGAGTCAAGTTTAATAACTATAGTGATCATTTAAGCTGTCAATAAATTGATTAAACATCAACCATAAAAATGAATGGCGAAGAAATAGTTGACTGAAAAGCAATATTAATTTCATTCCATTCATGTCTTCGTTATTTCAATGTTTTTTACTTAGTTAGTGTTGCTTTATAGCTTCCTATAATAAAATGGTATGTACTTTTAAGTATGAAATATTTTCCATTCATTAGTTATTGGTTTTATTTTGGCATTACTTACATATATTAGCCTAATTTATTGATTTTTTCATATTGTTTCACACAATTACATTAGCCTCTTATATTGAAAAATCTCCTCAGGAAACGGGAAAAACTAAATTTTCAATTTTAATTCTAATATCAAAGCCAATATTTGGCCGCTGAATTGCTGAATCATCATCGCCCAAACATCAAAACAACCAACAAACCAAAACCAATATTTAAAAAAAAAAATAATTATTTGTAGCAATTATTTCCGGAAATCTTCGATTACTTTAGTGAAAATTAAAAAACATTGAAACTTAAATAGGGCTGCTTTTGGAGCTATTTAAACTTCAAGACCCGTTTCGGAACAAAATAAAGGATAATTGGGATTCGGTTTGGAGACAAAAAATGGTACATGATTATGGAAGAAAAGTGTTCTTGAAATTGGACTATAAAAAGTTAACATTTTATTTACAATAAAAGAAATTTACTTCTGAATTTTCATTCAAACGGTCAAAACACTCTTTTGGTGATTTTTTTTTTAATACTTAAGAAATGCAAGTATCATTGTATTCATTGAAAAAAAGGCTGGTTTCGGAAATGAAATTATTTTGACGCCACTTTTTTATATATTTAGATTCATTTATAAAAAAAAATCTGTCATCGGATGTTTTTAAATAGGAATTGACACATTTCGAAAAAAAAAAAACGATTTCGCTTCACTTTGGAAATAAGTGACTCAATATTTTAGAGTATTTAGATTACTCAGATTACTTGCAGCAACAAATATATATCTATGAAAAAGAAATTAGTTTATTAATTTGGGACTCTCGCCGAAAGCCTCCCTCCTACCCGTTGAACAACCAGTGAACTACATTCTACTATTTCTCCACCATTATACATTTTTTTTTTTTAAGTACAATGTCAAGAGACCACAGATAGAAAGTCGTGTAACTTCGGGTTTAGGAACATAAATTATAAAGTAGGCTTGATGACATGTCTTGGATATGTTTATCCATGATGAGGAGACTAGTCATTGATGGCTACCATTGACAGTACAGAATGGGGCCGCCGCCCACGCCTCGTGTCCCTGCGTAAAGCAACCAGCTTTTATCAATGGGAAGGTGTCACGTGACCGCTCATTGATGTTCGCCACGGTGCAAGCTGTAGTCAGTACAGATCCCGCGACGGTGGCGCCGTCTATATCTCTTTTCCGTTAGAGGCCTGTTATTGTCGCTATTATTGTGTATTATAATTATGGCGGCCGAGCAATAATATAAAAGGGCATTTCGTGGCCAGCTGAGACGGACCAGAGCGGGAGAAATGGGAACCGGCGAGGGAAGTGGTGGGAGTGGTAAGGGAGGGGTAGGACCACCGTGATGCGTCCCTCAGTCAGTGTAGTGGGAGGGGTCGAGGTCGCATCTTCTGTCGTCCGTTGTATCAGTGTTGTTTGTTGTGTCGGTTGAGAGTGTGTTGTTTGTAATGCCGTCTGATGAGGAGGAGAGATCCAAGACAGAGCATGTCTCCAGGGACTGGCTCTACCGAGAGCTACGTTCCAACCCGGGCAGGCTCATCATTCTCGACTGCCGTTCTTCCAACGAGTTCGGCGAGTCCCACATCAGGCAAGCGGTCAACTTCTCCATCCCCAGCATCATGCTCAGAAGATTGGCCGCTGGTAAGATAGATCTGGCCAGTACAGTTCGCTCCAGGGAACTAAAGGAGAGGATTGTGAACGCTCTGAAGGAGAACGTCTTCGTCTTGTACGGTGACTCCAGCCCTCCAGAGAAGGGTAACGACACGATCTGTATCCTGTCGAAGAGGCTGGCTCAAGACGGTTGCCGCGTCGTCTGCCTCGAAGGTAAATGGACAGTGTGTAAACAAACTGACCCCCCTCTCAGGCTCAATAGGATCGCGCCCCCTTCGTATCCTCCATTCTAACTTATCTTAATTTACATATATTCCTTCATTAATAAAATTGTTTATATTCCTAAATGAATTCTGTTTTAATACTAGATAATTTCTACTAACTGAAGGTTAATACTCCGCTCCGTTCATAACAAGCCCAAGCAACACCATTAAACTTGGGAAACAACAACATAACGACTTTTCAATAGCTGAATCTGACTTCCAAGTTATGATAATTCCACGACAAATCAATTTTTTGTTAAAAATCTTTTATTTTTTTCTATCCTATAACCCCTATTTTTTCTTAATGAAGTTTAATACTTTAATGCCTATGTAAACAAAGCTTAACTTAATCCTCATGTTCCCTTATATTAGTTGATATTATTACTTTTCCATAATTGATCATTACAATGATATACTAGATATTTAGCTTTCTCATCAATAATGTTATCACAGATTCTATTTAAAGATTGTTTCTCAGAATACAGATTTCTTAAACTCTTGCATTATCACATAAATCCAATTAAATCTGATTAAAAATGTGTATATCAAATTCTGGTGTAAGCTAATTCGCAGCAACAATTTATTACATTAATCTATTGTTTTAGATTTTGATATCCTAACATTGCTTCAAATTACATTTTCAATGTTAACATAAAGAGTTTAATTACCTATTTAGCTCCACAGAGTTAGAAATAAAGATAAATTCTTAATTTATATAAATTCAAACATACTCTTGATTTCTTATGTTTTAAGTACTTCTTGAATTATTCTAATACTTTAACCTGGTGGAATGTTTATGTTATGTATATTCTGAGAGTGCTAAAGAGTTAGTTGTAAGTACAACAGTGCTAAAAAAAAAAAAAAAAAAACCTCAAGCTTCTGTGAGATCCATTTACTTTAACCAAAATATACTTGAATGAAATTAGTGAATGGACAGTGGAAATTGATTTTCTATCATACATTTCAGAAATCATTACCTTACTTTTCCCCATATTTCTGTTTGTTCCTGATACCTCATTTAAAAAATAAATATACTATATTTTACTGAAGCCATTTTTATCATGATGATTTTTAATTTAAAGATTATTGTTTGAAAATTTTAAAAATAATTATAGTTATTGTATTGAGTTGTTAGTTAGCTACCATTTTGTTAATTGCGAACGGTCTATGCACAGATGTGACTTAAATTGCATTTGTGGTGTTATTAGTTCCTACAATTTAAATTATTTTATAAATTCGAGCTTTTTGTGATTTTGGAATTTAGGAAATGGTTAGTCAATGAAGCTCTTATTATTTAAGCTTGTTAGATGGTTTCGGTAGTGTTTTATATGTGTGGTGATCACTGTTAAATTATTCTGTGTAAACAAATCTAACCAATGCATATTCATTCATCGTTCTGTGTAAACTTGTTTAATGGTCCTATTCTCTTTAACTAACATTACAACAGACCACACATTATATTCACATCCATCAATATTAGCAAGATATCTTTTCTGACCAGCATTTTTATGGATAAATTACTGAGATTTTGTAAAAGCTTCAGATTGCCGCATTGGCTCAAATCATCTTTAAGACTAAGTAAGATATAATTGTTGAAACTATTAAAGTTGAGCAGTATGTCTTAAATTTTAAAGGGCAATTAAATCTTTTTATTTACAACAAAGACAGCTTGGAAAGATTTCTATTCTAACTGATACCTTACCAAAAACTTATAAATTGAGACCGTTTTGTTTTTCTAATTATGCTGTTTTATGGACTTCAGTGTTGTGTTTGTTTTTTTTTTTCTTTCTTGTACCAATTTTATTAGAAGAGACTATTTTTCGCTTCTCCATAATCAAAGTTTATTTATCTTTAATTGGTCTATGTCTTATTAATACATCCGTAATTACTTTTTAATTACGTAATAGTAATTTTATATTATTATTAATCAAAGTTTATTTATCTTTAATTGGTCTATGTCTTATTAATACATCCGTAATTACTTTTTTTCAAATATTTGGTTAAAATTTGTGTTGTAATTTTATATTATTATTAATCTATGTATATATATCACTAATTTAATTTACTATTTTTTTAGAATCGTTGAAATAATTTATATTTATTTACTGATTGAGTCATAGGTTTCTTAAAATTAAAATAAAACATTTGGGTTAGTTATGGCTAATTTTTTGCTGATTATTGACAATTGGATCTTATTTCCTGATAAGGATAAAAGATTTTACTGATTTCTAGTTACAATTTTAATTCTATCTGTGGACTATTTTTATATTATTCTTGAAAAATAATTTATTTGCATATGGTTGTTCAGAAGTGTTTGATGTGCCCACAATGTTAAATCTACCTTAATTCTCCTCTTAAAATATTAACATATTATTACAAACTGCCGAAGCGGTAGAGAGAGGGATTGGCATATGATGATGATAATTAACAAATTACAACTTTGTTTCTATCAAAAATGAATCTTCACATTAAGCTTCAGTTTTTCAATGCTCACTGTGAAAATATTAATTTTGAATTGAATAGACTCTAAGTTAATAATATATATTATTATAATTTTATACTTTTTTTTTCTATTTATTTTAGATAGTTTTGCTCAATTCCGAGCAAGCTATCCAGAGTGGTGTGAAACCGTGGATGACAGTCTCTCTGCCTCTGACCCTGACCTTCCTCTGATGGGATTAAGGTCAGTATTAATTTTATGTAATATTTCAAGTATTTCTTATTGATATATTTCATTTTCATGTAAAAGGATATTGTCTTTATTTTGAAATAAACATTACATTACAACCCCACAAAGGTTCTGTAAAAGAAATTTTTATTTTTTTGAATGTTCTTATAGGCCTCATGTTAAATCATCTTAGTTGGGCTAATTAGCTTTTGCCTATTTCTGATAATTTCAGAGGATATACTGAATTTTTATACAAATTATATTATTTGAATTAATGTCAAATAATATTACACGTTATGTACAAACAATAAAAAATTTAATTCAGCATAATTTAATTTGATTTATTAAAATATATGTATTTTTAATGTTGCTCTTACTATTGAATAATTATTGATCATTATTATTATAGGTTTTAATCTGCAAGTTTATTTATTTTTTAATGATGATTTGGATGAATTAAACCTTTTAATTAATAATATTATCATTTTTATTGAATTCGTTTTTTATTTATTTTATTTTATTAACAGTTAAGACTTTTTAAGTTATTAGTTCACTATGATTTGTCCAGACGGTCAAAATAACTATTGTTAGTTTGAATCGATAATTCAAAATGAAAATTGAATGATAAAAAAGGATAGTATGTTGTGAACTGGTTCAATAGTATTCAAATTGTGTTTAGAGTGGGTGAGGCCCCAAAGCATTTCCTCTCTTTCAAGGTTCCTACGTGGGTTGGTTCGTTTTTGTGTCAATATATATATTTTTTGAATATTTTTATCCATTCTTTTCAATTTATAATATTACCCTAGATCTTGGAATCTTGTTGTTATGATAGAATATCCTAGGTCTGATAATAACCTTATCAGTAATACAGAACTATTTATTAAATGAGGAATATTGTATGCTACATTATAGCGATGCAGTCATTATGATCATAAATAATTGGCATATGATATAATCTGTCCAAGATAAGCCTCATATGAGCCTTTCAGTTGACAGAATGACGAACTGCAATTTCAACATTTTTATTATTAATTTTAGTGATATTTCTAGTTGGAAAATTTAAAATATCTGTACAGATAATGAATAACTTGATTCCAACATAGGTGATTGCAGTGTAGAAGTTTAGAACTGTGAATAAATGTATACATTTTCCCATTAGGAATATCACTAAAATTAATAATCAAAAATGTTGAAATTGGAGTTGTCATTCTGTCAACTGAAAGGCTCATATATGTGTCATGTGTCTGCTTCTTATTAAGATTGCATCTTATAGATATGAATTGATCATCAGCAAACAACTTAAAAACCATTCGGTGATGTTTAATTATTTAAGCTGAAATTTCCGCCCAAACATGGGAAACATCTTCAGTTCTAAAAATAACAGAGACAAAAAATTTAGATATAAACAAAGTAAAATGACAGAAATAATTGGAAACTTTATAAATAATAAATGGGAATGATATAGATAAAATAGTGATAAAGATAAAAATAAAAATCTGGTGTGATCAACTTTCACTTATTATCCTACTTTGGTTAGAAATTATTTTTTTTTAACAGTTGGATATTGCTTAAATTATAAATAATGACTTAAGACAGTGTAAATTATGACAGTTCTATGTACAAATTATATTGTCGGTTTATTGCAAAAAGTCACTAAATACATTTTGTTGTTTAAATACATTTTGAACTTCCACTTTATTTATTGCTACTAAAACACAGCCAGTGAATCAAAATAATACAAATTCTTTATCAGATATAGTAACACTCAGTGCATAATGTTTTGATTTTGAAGAGGGAAAATTCATCAAAATACCTGATGATTTAATTTTCTAAAATGTTGTTTAATGACTTTTTGCAACAAAAAAAAAGGTTGAAAAGATTTTTAGTTTTCCTTATATTTTCTCTCGTAATGTCATTTTGTTTTTATGAAAAAGTTTATTTCCCAATTAATTATATATTAGTAATCATTGCTAACTACAATAATTAAAAGTTATTAGCTTTTCATAACCTTTTATGACCGTCTCTGTTGGATATTAATTTTTCTAAAATCTTAAACTTCTAACAGTTCATCATATTCTGTATGTATATTTCTATATTTGGAACTGTGTTCTCAACTTTTGTAAATATTTCTCTCTTTTTCTACTTTAGTTAAATATCAAATTCTTTCATGATTCATTATCTAAATATTTGTTTATTACTCTTAATATAAAAATAAGATTGAAGAATAAAACAATAAGATATTAAATTAGTGTATGAAGAACTGATTAATAAAATAAAGCTAGGTTAATATTTGTATTCTAAAGCTATAATATCATAATAATTTTGTGGGTTACTATCCATGATTTAGTTTCTCTCAAAGTAATCATCAAAAAGCATTTTTTTACTTTCAGTTACCGATGTATGAATATGAAATAGAATTTGATTTAGTGAAATAAATTGTATATATAAGTAATTCAAGTTTCAATATATGGTAATATAATATAAATATATATATATATATTTTTTTTTTTTATTTCTCCTGCTTTTCAGTCAATCAACTAAAAATGTAATGTTTTACAGATCTTTGCGCATTTCTGCCTACAATGCAGGAGGGCGCTGTGCCAAGTGTGACGAATGCTCCTGTTCGCCACCATGCCTTCCGGGGAAATCAGGTCATGAGGAAGATTCTCTTGTCGAAATCTTACCCTTCTTGTTTCTTGGCAATGCTGCCAACTCTGCAGATCTAGAGCTGCTTGTCAAGCATGGTATCAAGGTATGTACGTTAATCTAACTTGGTTAACCTAAAAGTTGCAAAAATTGAATCAACAAAGATGCAATAGAGCTGTGTGTAGATAAATGGAAAGAAATAGCCCAAGACAGGCAGAGATGGAGTAAGATTGTTAAGGCGGCAAAAGATCTTCATGGTTTGTAATACCGATAGGGAAAAAAAACAAAACAAAAAAAACATTAATAAGTTAATGAATAATAAAGTTAATGATAATAATAAGTTAATGAAGATTCTTTACTAGTTCTTGATGTCCGTGTCTATCTCTATTAAAACTTTGACATATTGTAATGCTGTAATGAATCTTTTAAGAAATCATTAATAATAATTATTAATTCTTTATACACTTTTAAATTATGCAGTATCAGTGAAATAATTAAAATACGTTTTTTTTATAATTATTTGTCATATTTGTTTAAATAAATCATAATATTAAATATTATGATTATTATGTTTTATGATATGAAAATGGAGATGATTTGTAATTCTTTGTAGAACAATTGAATTTATCCCTATTTATGAAATTATTATAAATTAAGTTTTTATGTCACCTTATCAAATTAATTTTAATTATAGTAATGATATAAACAGATACTTTCCATAATTGGATACAATTAGGGTTGGAAATTTTATCCATTTGATAGAAGTGTCTGCCTATTAGGATCATACAGAAAAATATATAAAAATGAAAAAAGGTACGCATGTATATATGATTTTATTTAAAAAAAATTATAATTGAGACGTTGACATGGAAAAGGTAGTAAGTCATACATAAGTCAGGTTTACTCCCATCTCTACCATTGTAGATTGCACTTGATATCGGTCCCATATACAGGCATTAGAGTCTAAACCACTCCTAATTTGACTTACTCCTCTCTCTATGATATTGGCCGGACTAATTACTACTTACTACATTTTCCATGTCAACTCCTCAATATATGTACATAATGAAATTACAAATATATACAGTACTCCAGCCACATGATTAAACCAGTTTTGAAATTATAATAAATCTTATTTTGGATCGAACTTGGATGAGCAAATCACAAGAATTTTATCGATTGCAAGAACTTTTTTTTAGGCATCTCATTCTGCTTCACGAGTTTTTGTAATTTTTTTAATATAGCACAGTTTTCCTCACTTAAAATTGTTTCACAATATCACACACTTAGCTTTTCTTGCAAATTCGTAATTATAATCTTATGTTCTTTTAGTTTTATGTTTTTTTGGTTTACAGGGCAAAAAACTTCTGTGGTTATCATCGTCTATTTTCTTGGATTTTCCGTCAACTACATAAAATTTTAAATCTTATTATGAAGTCCCATCTATTTTAAAAATTGGTTACTTTGGCCAGGTAAATGCAGTCGTCACTTAGAACTTTGGCGAGGGATCTTGCTATGCCTAAATTGACCATTTTCCTTCTGTACTAATTAGAGTCTTCAAATATGTGCTTCACTTTGAGGGCTGTGACAGTCCTGACATTTTGGAGTTGTAGGTGAAGCGGCTATGTCCAATACACAAGCAAGTAATTATCACTTCATCTAGACATTGATGACCTCGGAGTATTACACTTCTAAGCCCTAAACAACAACAGCTTTGTCTTTTCTCGACTGTCTTGAGCATTTACACTTCTTAACTGATAGTTCGACCAGTCTAAGTTTATTTAACATTTGTTAATCTCACAGATTTTGCCACTTAACCATTATGCATTCTCTTATTGGCTGAAAGATTTCAGTAGTTGTAATATGACGGCTTTCAACTTTATTTATCAAGTGGGCTTCAGTCGCAGCTCTATTGGCCACATCATTGCCCTTTATGCCAATATGGCTTGGTACCCAGATAAAAACTACCGATTTGCTCGAAGTTTGAAGACTGTGGTGCAGGCATAGATTTCTCTCACTACAGGGTTGTCTGAAATAGGAGTTATTGATACTTCGAAGCTCACTCAGTGATTCCGAACAGACCACAATCGTATCTTCCCCACTTGGAGGTCTTTTAGGATGGCTGTCAATTCAGCAGTAAAAACCGAACATGTTTTATTCAATTTATATATTTAAGGTTTGCTGTTCCAAATTATGGCACATAATGTCAAATTTTCTGTTTTGGACCCATCATTGGAAATGATTATGGAGTTTTTGTAATATATAGAATAGCAGAAAATGTTTGTATTATTAGATGACTTGAAGTAACTTTTGATTCTTCCTTTCTTAAAAATTTGAATTGGTTCGTGTTAATAAGTTTTAAAATATTCTTTGTGATGTTTAATATCTTTAATAAATAAAGTATCAGCTTTGAACAAATATTAGATGTATCCAAATTCATCTTTCTAAAAAACAATGAACAGAGATCATGATATAAACAAATTAATCTCTTCCTGCCATTCCTGGAATCAATTAGGGTTTTATGCTTGATGTCCATTCCATTTATTTTAAGTATTTTTGAAGAAAAAAAAAAAAGAAAAAAGAACCGAATCAGTATCTATGTCCAGTTATGAGAGATTTAAGCTATTAAAAGTTTCAAATGTATTGAAACCAGTGAAATCTTGAAAGAGGGAAGGAAACTCCTTTCATGAGAAGTGTCCTTTACAAGTTTTAAATTTATTCAAAGTTCCTAGTTATTTTATCTTTATGGTCTTACATGTTATAACCTATGAATTGATTAAGTGTTTTAAATTATATAACTTAAACAAACTTGAAATCTTTCAAGAAAAAACATTGATAACAATTACAAAAGCACCTTGGTACGTTAGCAACATAACTTTACATACTGACCTCCATATACCGACTGTTAACGAACATATACGAACTTATTACAAATGATTCCATGACAACTTACAAGGACATCCTAATACACTTATAAATGACATGGCCACTACGAATATGCCAGGTAACATCTGGAGGAGACTGAAAAGGAGCTGGATGAGGGACCTCCTCGCCTAATGTAGATATCATGCCGAGTGAGGTGCCGCTGGGCACTGATCCTCCTCATGCCTTTCATGACATTATATTTTGCAATCGACCTCACATTTACTGGTTGTCATTACCATTATGACAGGTGTGAATAAAAAAATTAAAGCTAAAAAAAATTATATAAAATAAAAAAATTATTATTCCCTTTTTTTTTTGTAATTTATATAAGTTATTAAATAATTTTACAAATCATTATTTAAAGTCTGTATTTGTTTTTCTAGTACATTTTGAATGTTACTCCGGACCTGCCAAACGTCTTTGAAGGGAAAGGTGAGATTCAGTACATGAAGATTCCTATTGCAGATCATTGGAGTCAGAATCTTGCAGCTCACTTTCCGAAGGCCATCGAGTTTATAGGTATGCAGAGTATTTATAATTGCATACTTACTGAAAGTAATTTACTTCCTAATTGAAATTATCCTTTCAACTTGACAATGTTTGACTTTTTTAGAGCAATTAGTGATAATTCAATATGTTGTCAGCAATCAAATAGTACAATAAATATTTTTTAACATTATACATTGATAATTTAAAATTAAATTTAATGATATTAATAATTTTGATTCATAGATAAAAATATTTATGTTTGATTTTTCTCTCTCTTTGAAATAGAATGATGAAGCCATTTCTATTTCTTATTTTTATATATTTGATATTTTGAATTACAAGTTTATAATTAACATTATTTAAAAAAAGGTTAATTTTTTCTAAATACTATAACTTATATCTTTAAATGAAAATTATGGTTTGATATAAAGAGATATATATATATTAAGTTATCATTTTATATATATATATATATATATATATATATATATATATATATATATATATATATATATATATATATATATATATAAACTTATATCTTTAAATGAAAATTATGGTATATATATATATATATATATATATATATATATATATATATATATATATATATATAACAATGAAAATTATGGTATATATATATATATATATATATATATATACCAATGAAAATTATATATATAATGAAATATATATATAATGAAAATTATGGTATATATATGTATATATATATATATATATATATATATATATATATATATATATATATGTGTGTGTTATCTAATAATTATACAAATTTTATTTAACTGTTACTTGATGAAAGACGATCATCAATCAAATCAAAAGATAATATAATAACCATACAGATTTGATTTAAATGATACTTGAAAAAATATATTAATATATATTTTATAATTATATATTAATAATAATAAACTTATTTATTTATTAATGGTTACATTATAGTTGTTTTGTTAGACTATAGATTAATATGAAGACTTGATATCGTTTAGTTTTGTTAATAGGCATCATATTGTGGAGTTATTTTATATTATATTTTCAGAAAGAAAAAAATATATAACATTTTATTATTATTATTATTTAATAAAACTATAAAGATAAATTTAGTTTAGAGTTTAGATTTATAAATCCTGGGTAGATCAATGAAACAGACTAGTCCGTATGGAGCATTGAATGGGGTACTGGTGGCCAACCTGTTGCAACTTCCCTCCATTCTATCTCCCCTTTTAAGTTCTTATTCATCATAAGCTCTCCCATTCTTGATGTTATTGTACTTCTGTTTCATCTTTTATGGTCAAAATTTTTTTTGTAATTTATCCATTGTGATTTGTTAATGTGTAATGTTCATTCCAAATTACATTTATTTATTTTTTTTAGAGGAAATGTTTTTGTTTGTTTTTTTTCTTTAAAAAAAAACAGATGATGTATTAAAATAGGTATATTTAATTGATAATTTTCGTGTATATATGGGAGGTCACCTTAAAGTTATCAATAATTTTTATGGTTGTTGAAAAAATTTCAATGGCCAATGGCAATAAAAATTCGTTTTAAGAGTTTGTTAGGTGCAAAAAATGAATATCCACTTTGTCTCTTCCTAAAAATAATTTTTATCCCCACATTGCCATGACAGTTGGTCAAATTTTTACTTTCACTTACCTATACATGTAATATATATAGAAAGGGAAAGTATTGCGATCGTGCAAATTTCGGAATCTGAGTTTTCAACGGAAATACACGTTTTGAGGTCCCCTGAGTGCAAATAACCAAGTCCCAACAAAATGGTCTGTGTGTATGTGTGAACAGTAGCTCAAAAATGAAAAGTCATACGAAACTGGAAGTACGTATTTACGAGGGTGGTCTGAATAGTTTCCGATTGCAATGTGAAGATAGCAGCACTCGTTAAAAAAAGAACGAGTGAATTTCGTTGTTCATCTGTTGACAGTTACCCACAAAGTTTCAGTCATTTTGTATGTAGTTTTTATGTAACAGTCGTTTGAGTAAGTTGATGTGAGTGTTTTTTGTGAAAATGGAAAAAATCGAGTATCGAGCTGTCATTAAATATTTGTTTTTGAAAGGCAATACATCTACGCAAATCAAAGAGGAGTTTGATTCTGTATATTGGGGCTCTGCACCATCATTTACCACAGTGAAATTTTGGGCAGCTGAATTTAAACGTGACCGTAAGAGCTTGGGAGACGATCAACGTTTAGGATGTCCAAAAAATCAAACGTCCGACGAAAACATCGCCTAAGTTCACCAAATGGTGCTAGAGGACCACCGAATTAAAGTAAGAGAGATAGCAGAAGTTATGAACATGACAAAAGAACTTGTTTGTTACATTTACATATTAAATCAACATTTAGATATGAGAAAGCTGTCCCCACATTGAGTGCAGCGTTTGCTCATGTTAGACCAAAAATGTGTTAGAATGAACATTTCCAACGCTCTGTTGGCACAGTTTAGATGCAATAAATCCGAGTTTTGGCAATGATTAATTACTTTAGATGAAACTTGGTTACACCATTATACGTCTGAAACAAAAACACAGTCCACTGTTTGGACTGTGTTTTTGTTTCGGACGTATAATGGTGTATCCAAGTTTTGGGGAGGAACTGGCTCCAAAAAAAGTAAAACTGTTTCTCGGCTGGGAAAGTGATGGTGGTTTTTTGGGATGGAGTTATTTTAATCGACTATCTTCAAAAAGGAAAAGTTATTACGGGAGCATACTACTCATCATTACTTGACAAGCTGAAGGCAGAACTTGCAGAAAAAGAAAATCCTGTTTCACCAAACAATGCACAGTCTCACACCTCAGCGATTGCCATGGCAAAAATCCACAAATTACAGTTTGAAGTGCTTGATCATCGGCCTTACTCATCAGATCTAGCCCCAAGCGACTTCTTTTTGTTCTCTTATCTAAAAATTGTGCTTGGAGGACAGAGATTTTCATCAAATGAAGAGGCAATCACCTTTGTGAACATTATTTTGCGTGGGGTTACAGAGATGGGAGCATCGCTGGGGAAAGTATGTAGAGTTACAAGGAGACTATGTTGAAAAACAAAAAAAAAGAAAATTCAGAAAAAATGTCTTGTGTTTTTGTTAGGTCGGAAACTTTTCAGACCACCCTTGTAAGTTAAGTATATGCCTGGGATGTTGCAGCAACTTTTTCCTTACGATTGGCTAACCAGAAGATGAAAACGGCTCCCAATAATTTTGGTTAAATTTGGTGTATTTATGGTTAATAAAGATGTCTTTAATATCATTTAGGTCTTATTCCTATTGATGTTGCTTAACAGGACTTAAATGCCTAATGTTCAAAATATCTTCCTGTAAAGTACATTTAATTTGGTTTATTTTAAATAATTAACTATTTTTCATTGATAGCTATTATGAAAAATAGTTAAATAGAGCTTTTGAAAGGATTAAATAATTTAATAAAGGAGTAAAAATAGAAAAAAGGTTATTTAACTCGAAAATGAATTTCTAAATATATATATAAATATTAATTCCTGAAGACTAATATTATTCAATAGAAATCACATGTTTCTAAGAAAATTAAATGAAATTTCCTAACTAAATGTAAACTTTTAAAACTATTTTTGAGTTTGATAAAAAAAATATATAAAATCTACTGAATCAAAACTATGATATTATTTTAAGAAACTATTCATTTTAACTGTGTGAAAGAAGAAGTGAAATATAGGATGTAAAAAATTAACGAAAGATTTGAATCAAATAAAAAACAGTTATTTTTCTTTAAATTGTTATTTTTTTATTGAATCATAAAGTACACATGATTGGGTCATGTATGAAATAGCACATCGGGTAAATAGCCTCCACGGCTGTGCTGACAGCTGTGCACTGTTTTGGTGAAATTTTCTTTTACTATTTTGCATAAATGTAACAGAATTTTGTTGATGCAGCGTTGAATTTGTTCCTTCAATGCATGCGTGCTTGTAGGCTTGTTTGCATAGACCTTTGATTTCAAATAACCCCATAAAAAGAAATCCAATGGTGTTAAATCACACAATTTAAAGGACCAATTCTTATCACCGAAACAAGATAGTACACAACCAGGAAATGCTTCATGGAGTAATTTAATTGCTCCATGGGCTGTATGGCATGTGGCACTGTCTTGTTGAAACCACATGTCCACATCAATATCTTCCGATTTAGACAGAAAGATGTGTTATCATGCATTGATCACATGTAGTATTCGTGTTCGAAAAAGTATGGTCCGGTGATGTCTCCAGCCCAAAATCAGCATCAAACAGTGGCACTTTGAGGATTCATTTGTTTTTGACATTCACATGTGGGTTCTCTAAGCCCAAAATGCGGCAATTTTGGTGATTAACAAAGCCATCTAAGTGAAAATGGGCTTCATCACTAAAGATGATTTGGTTGAAAAAATCGCCACCCACTTGTTGATGTTCATTAATCCATTCAGCGAGCTTTCTTTGTTGTGCATGGTCATTAGGTTTCAGCTCTTGTGTCAATTGAACTTTGTAAGAATGGAAGCGCAGATCTTCAGTCGATATACGCCTTAAAGAGCTTCTTGGAATTACCAATTCTTGTCCACGACACCGAATTGATGTTCCTGGAAACTCACTAACACTCTCACACACTGCTTCAATATTGACACTTAAACAGCTTGTTTTTGGACGACCAGTGTGTTTAACATCACTAATTGATCCAGTCTGCTTGAATTTCTCAATCACTCTGTTCGCACTTGATGAAGATAAATCACTATTCCGACCATATTATGTACAAAATTTTCGAACTGTGGCCGTAAGATTTACATTTTTTTAAACAATAAAAGCACATTTTTCGCTCATAAAATGCTCCTTTTATTTAATCCTATACTACCAGCTGTTTAATTGACAGAGAGAACTATAACAAAATAAGAAAGAACTGTGATTTATATTTAATTTAAATCTTGAGTTAATTTTGGAACACCCTTTATTAATACATTTTATGGATATGTAAAACATCTGTTTATAAGCTTAAATATATTTATTGTAGTTTAATAAATCCAGACCTGATAATATATTTAAATAATAAGGTGTCTATCATCCTTTTATTCTGGAAAATCATCATGTAGAGATTAATAAGAGTTTAATAACTAACAGTCATATATACAATCAATAATCATTTATAACTTAAATATACTGATGTACTTTCAAATCTCTCTAGGTACATATATCTCAGAGACTGAAGTTATGTGGTTTACTAAAAGTTATAGTTGAAAGTAAAGTTTCGAGATTTTTATGCCTACTGTCTATATAATAATTAGAGTTTTTGTTATTTTAATGGGCTTAATGATTTGTTAGCTGTAAGCTTTAAGCTTTAACTGACGGAGGTCAAAAATGCGCTTCAAAAATTTTGTAATAACCCAACATTTCTATTCAAAGTAGAGCTGTAAGTGAAAGTTGTGTGATGCACGCACCAGATTTTTTTAAAAATATACTCACGCTATAGCTATCAGCCAAATACAATATTTTATGTACCCACTGACTGTAACCTCCTCAAGTTAATAAATTTTTGCAATAAACTAATAATATGTATTTATCAGTAAATGTGTTAACAGATACAGGCTTAATTAACTCTAAATGCAATAATTTGGAAAACTGCTTAAATTTATCAGTGAGATAGTTACCATTAACTATTATTTTATTACAAATAACCATTCAGAACTACCTAGCAACGAAAAGTAAAGGATTCAATCTATTTAATACTTTAGAAAATATTAAAAATGAAATAATGTTATAAAGCATAATTTTTTATTATGATATTAATTGAATGAAATAATTTATTCCTTATTAATTATTTTGAATGCATTGTCTTCTAATCTCATAAACTCCTTTCCTTACAAAAATAAACCTATTTTTTAGGCACATGAAACATTAAGTATTTTATAATTAAAATACTAAATACTTTGTAATTAAAATATACTGTATTTCAAAATGATAATTGAAAAAAGTTTTGTCCTAGTCTCGTTGAAACATATAAATGGTTGTCCAGTTTAAGTTATGTGTGTACATATATTAATGTATTTTACAGACGAGGCGAGGTCGAAGGAAGCTGGGGTTCTAGTCCACTGTGTAGCAGGTGTTTCACGTTCCGTGACTGTTACTCTCGGCTACCTCATGTCTAGGCTGGGATTATCACTGAATGATGCCTTCGCCCTTGTTCGGACACGTAAGGCCAACGTTGCTCCAAACTTTCACTTCATGGAGCAGTTGCACACGTGGGTATATGATTCTTAAATTTTTTATCGCGTCAATATTATTGCATTAATAATATCATAGCAGTATATATTATTATCGTATTAGTTTGATAAATTAGACCAATTGTAGTTGGACAGACTAGCAAATCTATTTCTAGGATTGCAATTACCAGAACCTTCAGCGTTGCAATCCTTTTTCTTAGTTGAATTTAATTTTGTATATTAATCAAAATAGGGCATGATTTATAAAGACCACAATATTCCCATAGAAATTTTATTAATATAATTTTAAAACATTATTTAACACTCTAAGCAGTACATTTTAAAGATAAAAACATTTAACATCTGATTTTTGACCTATTCAAGTTCAATTTTCTTATTTTAGTAACATATCATTTCTGAAGAAGTGATATATAGCTGAAACTGGAGAAATCCTATTTCCGTGAAAGTCATTAACCTGTTCCAGTTTTTCATGTTTAATAATCATAACATTAATATTAAAAAAACTGTTCAGTGTTGAGGTTTTTAATATTTCTTATTAGATAAAAAATAAAAAAATACAATATTCCTCGATAATAAAATTCCTCATTTTACAAATGTGAAACTAGGTCTAATGACAAAAAAAAAAACTTCTCTAACAAGCATGGAATTCAAAAGTCAACATTATCATCCACAAAAAAAAAAAATAAAATTGATATGAGTGTGACCAGCGAAGATTTAAAAAAATAAAATGTTGTACCTATTTTGTTTTTATTTAAAAAAATAAAAATAATCTACACTATTAATCTTACTTATTTTTGTTTTTTATTACGGATATTATGAACTTCATTACAATAAACTATAGATTTTCTACTTCCTTTGAGTTCTTTATAACTAGGGTTTACTGTATTCATACCTAAATTAATTTTAATATTATTTTATAGATATTATTTACCACATATCAAATCAAAAATGCTATATAAGATTTTTTGTAACGTATCATAATTTATATCGATATTTGCTTCATAGGTTTGAACAGGAGTTGGCCGGGGGAAAGTCCTCATCGAGCAGTATTCAGCCAGCTGTCGGTACTTTCTTGTCGCCGGCAGGTATTGGCCAAAGCCCAGACTCTGGAATAGAGTTTGACCGCTGGACCCCAGGGACAGGGGAATGACACGAAGAGGCAAGATATCCTTTCTAAGCTCTCTTCCAATTATCCAGGCTTGGCTTACTATATCATTTTGTATTTAGTTTGCCTTTTTTTAATTTTATTAATTTGTATATTAACTGTGTATTATATATTTTTTAAAAGAAAGAAGTCCTGTTTTCTTACTTTTTTATTGAGTTACATATTTTTAATATTGTCATTGTTTACTTTAATTACGCCCTTGCGGATTTTAAGTTAATTATCATTATATTGATGAAGTCCAATATGTTATTTGGATTATAGTGGGTTACAGATCGTGATCCACAGACACTACCATCTTGCTTGGTTATGACTATTTTTCTTTTTGTACTTTAAGATGAGTATTGACGTTTGATGTTGAATTATTTTTGACTAATGTTGAATTTATTGTTACATAAAGTTTTTAAATATTACTAAACATCAATATATGTATGTGGTATATATATATATCACCTTATAGGTACATTGTTTCTTTCCCTCTCACTGTGTTATTAAAAAAAAAACTGTTAAACGGAGAAATGTGTAAATAAGAGATGCTTGTATATAGACATTAATGAAGGATTATATGTTTTGGTCTTGTATTGAAATAAAAACGCTCATGTCTGCTACCAGACAATCCTCAGTGTATAAATGTCAGCCTAGTTGAGCCTCGAAGGGAAATAATGATTTATAAATATATATTACATGTTACTCTATATATATATATATATATATATATATATATATATATATATATATATTATCTAGGTTATATGTGTATGCACATACTTTTAACTATTGTGGCTATAAATGTGCCATAGCCTTTGGTATTTTGTTTCATAAGGGAATTGATGATCTCTGTTTTTTTCTTTAAAATATTTCTTTTCTGAAAGATAATTTATTTTGTATTTACTATATTATATTCAGTTCTTCATGTGCAATATTTTATGTAAGTTATAAGTAATTTAAATTTAATAATACAAACTAAAGTGGCTTATAATGAATTATATAACATTCTAATAAAAGATTAGAAAAAGCTATTGTAACACTTAATAAAGATTTCATATTGTCAAGTTAAATAAGAGGTATTATGGTTCCCTTATGATGGTGCTGTGTAAGATGATCATTGAAGAGCCCATTTTCTTGAAGGAACTTGTCATTTTTTTTTTTCTAAACATTCCATACATTTCATTTCTTCGAATAGAAGTTGTATTTTTGTATTGATTTTTTTTTTTACTAACCTTTTAAAGATTTTTATTCATGTACAAAGTAGATTAATTTTTATTTTAAGTATTCTTATTTTTTATTTCTATTAAAGTGTGTAGTGGGGACCAATCGTAATGAAACTATTGAAATTATAGTAAACATTCATTACTTATATAAATATTTTTTATTATTGATTTTTTTTTTCTTGTCTGATTGCTAATTGCTATAATGTCTGTCTTGTCTTTATTTTGTTATAAAAAAAATCACTTGCAGTCTGACTTAAGAGTAATTTCAATGCAAGTTTCCTGCTTGCTAAAATGTAACAGAAAAACATATTTCAAGTATTTTATTATTAAATTATCACGAGTCCTCTGTTTATTTGGACTCACAGTTAAGTGCTTCATCAAAATATAAATAAATAATTTTTTTTAAATTCCATTATTAGCTTAAATTTATCATTTATTGTATAAGAATTCATGAAAATGCCTATATTTAATGTAATGTATTATATATTCTTTCTCCACTAAAAAGCATCAGACTCAAATACAATTTTTAAATTGATCATGTTAAAAGTTGTTGGTATTGATTTTATTTAAATGTTTGTATGGTAGTAATTAAAAAAAAAAAATGACATATTTCTCTTACTGGTCTCACTAGGTTTGCCAGATTGTAAATGTATTTTTTTGAATCGTGCCACTTATAATATATTCGTAAAATATTTTTGTGCCAAGTATAAATATTTGTGGCATTTAGGGAAAGAAAATTTTAAAATTAAAAAAAAAAATCTTTAATAATTTATATTGTCCTATGTTGTTTTAAATAAATATGTGGTGTAGCCATTATTAGATCTGTGTATAGAACTTGTCTACTGTAAATTAGACTTACCTTATTGTGTAAGTAAGGAGAGTTTGAGATGTAGTTTTAAAATTTCTCTGTATTTTATATAGAAGTCGAATGTGAGCGTATCCCACAGGGTGCAGTGTTTTCTAAACATTGGTAATCTTTACTTCCATTATTTTAAATAGATCTGTCTGTATATAAAGGCTTGGTTTTCACTGATTGACCAGAACTGCTAAAGTCAAATTATATACAGAAAATATCTGCCAGTGCCATCTTTAATTGTGTTATTAAGTGCCATCAGTATTTGTTCTGATACATGTTAGACTAGTCTCAAATAATATAAAAAATAGGCTCTTGTAAATTGCAAATTATTTTTCAATCTATTTTTTTTTTTTAAACATTTTTTATTTTACATCAGGCCTTAATTTAAGATACAATTTCTATTCTGTTCCATCTTTACTTTCTTAATTTATTAAGCGGTTTTGTACAATCAGTTTGAAGACCACAGGGAGTTATATTACAATGTAATATGGATATTTTAATCATTCCATGAATTCGTATACCAAAAATATATATCAGTTTTTATTAAATTTTTTATGTATTAAATATTTTGTATTGTGCTTCATTTTTGGGTGGGATGGGATGTACATTTTATATAGCTCCCATGAAACCGGTAAAAGACAAAGATGGATAAGGGACTAGGAAATCTTTCCGTAATATGTTCTTTCTTCCTAGTCTACCTTCTATGTCAGTGTAATGTATATTATTATTAATAATAACATATGAAAGTCTTTCAAATTTTAATGTTATAACATTACAAATATTTAATTTTAAATTAATAAGTAGATGTGTTTAAATTATAATGCATTCTGTAATGTTAGATGTAAGAAATATGAATCATTTCTTCTAAAAATTTGTTATTAATAGCTTACAAGATTGCATTTACCGCCATAATATTGACCAGCAAGTTACCAAATGATGTTCTGTATTGTTCAAGGTGTTACAGAGATCTTTCTAATTTGCTCTTTAATGAAAATTTAGAACTTTTACTCTTGAAATTTTATTTGGTCTGCCTATGCATAACCCAGCCCAGCTGTTTTACAAACATCTGACAGTAACTGTAGTTACACCATTATCTGTTTTTAAACATGTATTTAATAAATATCATCTGTTTTAAAACATATGTATTTAATATTTCTAATTAAATTAGCCACATCATAGTTGGTTTCTTAATCTACAATTGTTTCAACAAAAATATTCATTTATTGAGCAGATTAGATGAGGTCATGATCATGACATCTGGTTATGAATCCCTTTGATAAATGAATCATCTTTCATTATTAGAGTTAATTGTTTATTCAGGAATATTGTAACTATAATCAATATATATTTTTTTATATTGTTTCCTAAACAGATGCAACTATCTTCATTTTGTTTGTTTGGTGATATGAAGCATGTTATAGTTACCAGAGTGACAGCGTATCTCCTTTCGATATAACTATTTCTTTAAGTGCCAAAGATAGCATGTGCCAAAATGAGGCCAAGTCCTTTTACCATCTCTATTTCTTTTTCATATTTGTACGTCTCATTTTTTTAATTTTATTTTAAGAAGATTTTTATAGATTTAATTTTGGAGTTCTTTCTGTTCGACTATGGACTTATTTTTAATTTATACATTATATTGATTGCAGATTCACATTTATAACAGCTATTATTTATTCATTCTATGCTATTATAATGTTTATTTTTGTTAAAATATGATGCAAACAAAACCCTCTGATATGGAATCATTTATGAAAATAATGTGTTAGAAAAAAAAGATTTTCAATTTGTTATTTTATTTATGAGATATCTTTAAAACATAATATACTTAAACTTGTTCTATAAGCAACGACAAACAGATTTTTCCTGTTTGCTATCTTGAAATAGTGATATTTACAATATAAATATTAAAATGCACTATGTAGAGTATGTTTATTATAATAATATAATTGTACCTTGTAGAAATTATCGTCATTGTATGTTGTCATCTGTGTAGTTCAAAAATTCTCAAAACAGTTAGTAAAACTATAAGAAACTGGAATAAAGCAAACTTAACTATTTCCTGTCTATTTGTTTCTACAACCTCTGAACATTATAACAAGAAAACGAAAGTGTTGCCCGTGTTGCCTCACAAGATTTTTAGTAATATTTCTAATATCTTTTTAATTTGAAACTGAACTCTCAATTATTTATGAAGGTCAGATTCATTGTAAAAAAATAATTAATTTGATATGAAATTTTATACTATTCATAATGTGATAGATTGTTTCGGAAAAGATCTTTCTCTAAGATTTCTATTTTTGTCAAACATCATCTTAAAGCATTATTTTTTCCCACAAAAATAAAGTATCCCTAACTCATGATATTATTTTTACTATAACAAGAATACCAAAATCAAGACAAACTTTTTTTCAAGAAACTTTAAAACAAAAAATTGAAAACAAGATAAATTAAAGTAACTCTTAAAGGTTAACATTTTAAAAAGTGGTTCAACAGGTAAAATTAGGAGTATCTTTTCTTCTGCATGGACCTTGTCATCGTGGGAAAAGGGAAGCAAGAGTTTGGTAAAAGAGTTAGAAAAACAAAACGTTTGAAAATTATGATAGAATTAATATCAGTTTATTGTAAATAGTCATTAAGTAACTTCATGTTGTATTAGTAAGTACTTTGTTGAATTTTCTCTCTGAAATTAAAACATTGGACTCATGGAGTGTAACTGCTTTTCTTACATATAAGTATTGGTGCACTTGCTATGTTTTTATATCTATAAATAATTTCAAAATTTGCAAATACTTAAAAGATTAGTTCCATCGAAAATGTACTTAGGGATATTTTGCCATATAGCAACGATATATGTATGTGTAAGTAATGAAAAATAAAACTAAATAATTATATAGATTAAATGAAAATTATGTAGGATAAATTTATCTGTTTCTTAACATCACTTCTAGTACCACGGCCATTAGCAACAATTAATCTTCTTAAATATCAATTAATTTTATTTGTGTAATGTATCTAGATTTTTTTTTTCTATTCCAATGTTTTCTTTAGATGTGACAATTCTTTCACTTTTGAGGTTTATTCATTCTTTATGATAATTTTTATACTGGAATCTGTGTTGGATCATGAGTGTATTGTCACATGGTCAGTGCAGCCCCTAGAATTAACTGGAGAGAAATCAGCTTGGTATATATGGAGAAATCAGTCTACTGATTATAGAATTTTCTTTTGAAGTTAAATTTTTCAGAGGCAGCCAAGCATGATTGTTTTCTTTGCTCAGATGGAAGTGATTAAATGGTAGTTTAATCATTATTTATTCATACATACTTGATTTATCATTGTCGGTTTAATATTTTTTTATCATATTACTTTTTTGTCGTACTGTCATAAATCATTGTCACTTTCATATTATTTTTCTTGTTATACTGTTTTTCTTACAACCATTTTATTATAGCCCTCATAAAGGTTTAAACATCACAAAATAAAATATGACATATTTAATTGTGTGTTACGGGGATGCCCAGAAGAGGGTTTCAAGGCACTAGTTGTGCCATCAAAATTTTTGAGGGGGACAACTTTCGATGGGGTTGTGAATTTTCGGAGTAAGAGAAAAGAAGAAAACATGGAACAGACCGCAGCAAGTGTAATTGTACATGATCTACGGTTTTTCTAAAAATATTCCTGTACCAAATAAAAACAATTAATGTTCATGGGAATAAAGTTACAATTATTGACAGGAAATTTTGTTTAAAATTATTTAAATTCTGAATTGTATTTAACAAGTAATTCTTTTTACTCAAAAAATACGATTAATCTAAAAGGTCTGAATATTTACAAAATATTCTTAATTTATTGGTGAAATATTTTAATGTTGTAGCTTTAAGTTGCTAGAGTGCTCCGGTCTCTTGTAAACTATTTTAAATTGAAATGTTGGAATAATTTTCGAAAATGTCATGGTTTAGATTCATAGACATTAATTATCAAGTTAAGGAATTTGACCACCATTTCATGAACAAAAAAGTAAAACATACATTTCTTTTATAAAACCTTGGATGTATGGAATTCATCTATTTCGCAAGTGCACTCTCACTCCCCTCAAAATATTACTGGATCCACCACTGTATGCCACTAATTCTTCCATTTTTTATTAAAATAGTCATGGTGAGTCACCTTTAAAGCCAATCAAATAATATTTATGTCATAATGAGGAAGTGTGTTTTAATGTGCATGTTATAACATAACATTTATCTGATTGACATTAAAGATGACTTATCTTTAGTAATTTATGATAGTAAGTAAATGTTCTGTTTGTAAATGTTATAGGAATGTTCTGAAGATGTGGAGTGCTACACACCGAAACGTCAACTAGAAATTATAAATAATAAAATATATGAGGAAAAAAATGGTGGTTATTTGTAATGCCAAATTACCATATCTTCACATATGGCCTCTTGTAAATTTAATGTAAATTAAAATGGTAAATATTTACTTTATATGCGATGTAAATAGCAGTTATGTCATAATAAAACAATCAACAAATGAGGTAAAGGGTCAACTGACCTTTGATATTTGATAAAACTGCAGACTAGATATTAATGCGGACATCCTTTCATATATTTATTTAGTTGTGGTAAGATGAAGGCGGTTCTGATTTGGATATCCATGTCTTTCACTTTATTAGTGGTAAGTGAATCTCTTTTTCTATTGCATTTTGGAGTAATGGAGACCAAATCCAGAACTTTCTATTCTCCTAGCGGTATTTTATAGGGGAGGGCTTAGATAGGTTTAATTATATCCACATTGTTTGATACAGTGCCGGTCTCAGATATTCGGCGCCCCTGGGTAATTTCATCTCTTCCCTCCTTAAAATTAATTTTATTTCTTAAGCTGTTTTGTGTTATGTAATATTTGAATTTTATTCAAAATTTCTCTAATACAATTGCTTTATTGATAGGTTAAAATTATTTACTGTAATATGTTTTATAAGTTTTTTTTAATATTTTTTACAATTGGGCGCCCCTGAAGATCGACCGATGCCTCCAACGGGCACCTCTCCAGATCGGCGCCACGGGTAATGGCTCCGGTTACCCCGATCTAAGGCCGGTAATGGTTTGATATATACTTATTTGTGGTACACGATTGGAAATAGCATATTGTTCACGTTTTGTAGTTCCTTAAACCAGGGCTGAGCTCATCGATGGAATCGGAAATCCATTAGGCCGTTCCAAAATCATCGATGCGTCATCGTTCCTTTATTCATGGATTGAATTACCGATAGTTCAGTGGTCCTATCGGCTTTTGGGGTCGGTGGATATAGCCTAATTATAACCTCAGTGTTATTATTTCTTAAATCACTTTAAATATTTATTCCTGCTTTGAAGTTCTACAGTTCAGGTTGGAATTTTCTCATATATTTGTTATTATTTTGTGCCTAACCTCACCATTGATCGTTGATCATCGGTGCTGGATTCCATCGATGGGATTAGTGCTAAATTTTGTAACTTTCCCAGTTAATATATAAAAATTATTTTATCTTTTACTTTGCCAGTGCTAAATGTATGGGCTTGTTTACCCATTGATTCGGTTACAACTAGATCACCTTTCCATTACACTTCACTTTTCTTTCTTTCTATAATATTTTAAGTAGATACTTACTTTAAGTAGAAATTGATTGCAGCCCTCAAATACGGAAGTATTAATTTCAACTTACTGAAAGATCGCTGGCAACTTGAGATGAACATTGCAATTGTGAGCAGAATTTGAATGGAGGTGAGCAGTTTTGGAAATACGGTTTCATCTCCTTACTGCATAATAAATTCATGAAGCTCTACAGATTTCTTTAAGTTGTCGTTCTTTCTCGTAGAAATTAGTATTCGAAATCCCAATATTTCTTCTTTTCAGATCTTGTTTTTCAACGTAAAGATTTCAAAGGGATATCATTTATAGGATGTGACGTACATTTACACAGGGATTTCCATTCTCCCACTCCCAAGGTCGAAGGCGCAATTTGCCTCATGAAACCCCATTCTAGACACCCCTTCCGGACTGGCATCAAATTTGCTACGGAGTTTGATTGGTTCTTCGTCACTCGAATTCCCTCCCGCTCGTTTACCTCAGCTCACCAGGTACAGGAATCGCAAGATTATCTGAATTTATGTTGTATAATGCCGCCTCTAAATATACACAACCACTCTCCCATCACGGCGGGGACACCTAGGAGAGGGACAACTTGAAATAACAAACCGGGACGGATAAGGCTCGTTAGCTGTAACAGAATTCAGCTTATCTAAAGGAAGGAAACTCTAACAGAAAACCCCAAGTCCTCCAGATTGGGGGTTGTCATTCGGGTCAGCAGCTCATTGACGTAAAACTCTTCTCGCTAAAAGTAGTCAGAAAAGAGCCTCGAATTTGGATAGTCATGACGGAAGCAGACTTTGGAAACGGAAACAGACTTTTCATTTTGGTACGTGGAATATTCAGAGCTTCGCCAACAAAAAGTCTCAGGTGCGTAAAGAAGTGGAGAGAGCAGGATTGGATCTGGTCGTGCTCACAGATACTAAATTGAAAGGAAAGGGACAAGAGATCGAGTGATTATGTGCATATCTGGAGTGGCGTGGGAAGAGATTTGCGAGCCAAGGCAGGTATTTCGGTTCTGATAAAGAAACACCTCAAAGAAAAGATCACATATTGTGAGGAAATATCGTAGAGGTTTATTCGTGTAGAGCTGGATGTTTTTGGCAGAAAGGTCGCAGTCATAGGCGTCTACGGTCCTGATAATAGTGAACCCCCGCAAGTGAAGGATGAATTCGAAGAGGATTTTAGACTCGTGCTGGAGAAGATAAATGGGAGCGAAGAAGTTATCAATCTTGTGGATTAAAATGCACGAGTGGGTCTCCAAGTAGGAAGTAGGGCTGTCGGAAAGTATGGAGAGGTTCAGATTACAGACAACGGAAAAAGGCTCATCGATGTTTGCGAAGCGTTCGATTTGTAGATTCAGAATACATTCTTTCAGCACAAGCCCATGCACCAATTCACATGGAGTAAGCCTGGATTCCAATCG